AAATAGGACAGATCCTGAAGCTGAGGCTCCAGTACTTTGGCCATCTCATGAGAAGAAAAGACTCCTTGGAAAAGACCCTGATGTTGGGAAAGAGTGACATCAGGGTCCGAGGATGAGATGGCTGGACAGTGTCTGCGAAGCAACCAACATGAAATTGACACAACTCCGGGAGGCGGTGGAGGATAGGCGGGCCTGGCGTGCTCTGGTCCATAGGGTCACGAAGAGTCGGACACGACTAAACGACTAAATGATGATGAAAAAAATATATTAAAAAGGGTAAATAAAGATACTAAAACACATTTAAAACAACAGAATACAACAAACCATTTAAAAACTCTTCTCAGATCACTTACCTGTTTTCCCAAAAATAAGACCTAACCTGAAAATAAGCCCTGGTATGTTTTTTCAAGATTTTCGTAACATAAGCCCTACCCCAAAAATAAGCCCCAGTTAAGTGAAACCCTACCCTCCACCATTGTGCAGGATTGTGCAGCAACCAAAAGAAGATAACATGGCTGTATTTGAATAAATGTTGATTGTTGTACATGAAAATAAAATAAAACATCCCCTGAAAATAAGCCCTAATGCATTTTTGGAGCAAAAATTAATATAAGACCCTGTCTTATTTGGGGGGAATAGTCATTAAGGAAAAGCCTGCCTGAAGAGAAAGGTATTTGCCTGCTTGTGGAAGGACAATGACAGAGATGGTCCTCTCCCATGTCCTTACCAAGCACACCTGTGAGGGTGGTGGAACTGAAAGAAAGACCTACCCTGATGACCTTAAAGCCCAGACAGACTCAGAGAGGGAGATGCAGTCTTTTAGATACCTTGGACCCAGACCATTGAGGGCTTTACAGGTTAAAACCAGCACTTTGAGCTGTGCCCAGAAACAGATTGGCAGCCAATGGAGCTGCTGTAATAGTGGAGTTAAACCTTCTCCATATCGAGCTCCAGTTAGCAACCTGGCTAGGCATTCTGGACCCTTTGGAGTTTCCAAACACCTTCCAAAGACAGCCCCACATAGTGTGTGTTACAGTAACTCAACTGAGATGTAACTAGAACGCGTGTCACCGTGGCCAGCTCAAACTTCTCAAGAATTGGGAGCAGCTGGCACTAGTTTTAACTGTGCAAAGGCACTCCTGGCCACTGCTGAAACTTCAGCCTCCAGGCTCAGAGATGAATCCAGGAACACCTCCAAGCTGTGTACCTGTGTTTTCAGAGGGAGTGTAACCCCATCCAGCACAGGCTGCAACCTTATTCTTTGATCTGTGTGGCGGACAGCCCACACATCACTCCTGTCAGTCATTGTAGAGCTCTAGTGCAGGAGCCTATGACAGGACAGAAAGAACTGGCTGTGACAGTCATTGAGGGAGAGGACTGGGAAGTGTTTAGACAAGATAGTGGACAGTTGGTTTGTTAGAGAATATTAAAGAGTTAAAAGGAATTAGCAGTAAATAGACAGAGAATATACTGAGACCTTGATTATAGTAACTGAATACAAGCAAACTTATAAGTAATGAAATACGTGTTTATTGAATGAAACATAATGATTTTCCTTCTGTGATTCCCTTATTAATCCTTAAATAAACCTTGTTTTGTTTGGCAACAAGAGTGTGGGATTCTTAATTGATATTGTGAGGATAATATCCTCTGGTGGCAGTGAAATAGGGAAAAAGAACAAGTTGTGCCCGAAGGTGAACGTGTGTGAGTGAGAAAACACACAGGAGTCACTGGGGGTGCGCGACAGTGGCTCTCTCCAAATATAGCTGGATTCCAATTTCCATCATTCTTCCCTCCTCGCCATGTCAATTCAACCCAACAATATTTGGATGACCACACATTTCTTCCTGTCCAATTGCCAAGTGCACTTCCCAGATTTGTACGGTTCCTACCTCCCTCACCCAGATGGATATAGGAATGTGAAATGTAGGATCACTCTGACAACTCTCCCCTAAAGTACTGGTTTCTGTAGGAAGGAGTCTCCACCCCAACCCTTCTGGAAAGAACCATATCAAAACTCTATTGTAAACTATGGTGGGAAAATAAGGAGGTCTGACTACTTGATTCTCGTTATAAAGTATTTGGCAGCAGGAGTGTGAGATTCATAACTGATATAATGAGGATAAAATCCTCTGGTGGCAGTGAAAAAGGGGGAAAGAACAAGTTGTGTCCAAAGGCGAACTTGTATGAGAGGCAAAACATACAGGGGTCACTTGGGATGTGCGACAATCTGCCTTTTGATTGACCAAGAGCACCTCTGTCTTGTCTGGATTAAATTTCAGTTTATTAACCTTCATCCAGTTCATTCTTGACACCAGACACTGATTCAGAACCAAAACAGCTTCCTTAGATTTAGATGGAATGGAGAGATAGAGTTCTGATGACATTGAACACCAAAATTCTGGATAACCTCTCCCAGCAGTTTCATGTAGATGTTAAATAGCTTGGAGGACAAAAAGAACCATGATGGACATCACAGGCCAATGGCCAGGGTGTCGAACAAGAGTCCCCCAGCACCACCCTCTGGGTTCTCCCCTCCAGAAAGGACTGGAGCCACTGTAAAACAGTGTTGCCAAGTCCCATCCCTGAGAGAAGGCCCAGAAGGAGACCATGGTCAATGGTACTGAAAGCCATGGAGAGGTCCTGCAGAATCAATAGGGACATACTCCCCCTGTCCAGTTCCTGGTGAAAGCCACGGAGAGGTCCAGCAGAATCAATAGGGACATACTACCCCTGTCCAGTTCCTGGCATAGGTTTTCCACCAAGTTGACCAAAGCAGTCTCCATCCCATAACCAGACCTGAAATCAATCTGAAATGGACCTAGATAATCCATTTCATCCGTCTGAAATGGACCTAGATAATGCATTTCATCCAGGAATACCTGGAGCTGAGAAGCCACAACCCGCTTCAGCATCTTGCCCAAGAATGGGATATTAGAGATTGGCTGGTAATTTTCCAGTACCACAGTGGCTCCTACATGTGGCCTTTCTTTAGTTGATTTCAACCCCCACCCCAGAAATGCAACAGTAGAAGTGTACATATTTACATTGGACTTAAAAATGTTTTGTGGATCAATCTGATTAATCAGAGGTATGATATGTCCAATAAAGTGGATTGATCCATGAAAGCTCATATTGGAATATAACAGCTAGTCTTTAAGCTGCTACTACATTTTTACTTTATTTTGTTTTTGTTTGGATATGCTTGTACAGACAAACATGGCTATTATTCCTAATTGTTCTGCACTGTATTTTTCCTTTCACCTTTCTGTACCAGGAATTCATTGATTTGTCTCTCATTTCTTTTATATTGTACCTTCAGTTTATGGGTCTTATTGGCTGAATAACTGCTGTGATTTGACTACATTTTTACCTTAACAGTATCCATGAACAGCCTCAGATCATCCCTGGTTACACCCTCACACCCACAAGGGCAAACATCAAACCTCATTTTCACTTACTGGGCTTCTTGCCTCAAGTGTCAGTAACTTGACCACCCACGGGTACTCTGCCCCTTGCCTGGGGAGATGTGTGTCAATGTTTGTGTGACCCCAGACATCTTCAAGTCTGGACCAGCCACGGCCACAACCAGCCATCCCTAAGGACCACAGGTGACCGCTGTTCACAATGCTTTAGTTCAGAAAATGTCTTATCAAGCAAGATTGTTGATCTTCAGTCCCTCTTATTGTTACTTTTGTTCTAGCAAAAAAGAAATGGCAGGGGGCATCCATCCTATTTTTCAGTGAGCCATGAAATAGTGAAGCAAAAGTAACATGATCTGGATCTCCTCCCTATATGGAGGAAACTCTCCCCCCCAATCATTGGAACATTGCAAGGGCCAGAAAATATCCCACACTAAAAGACATGTACATTAGATGCTAACCCTCGATACACTAGAGTTCTCATTTAATTAGAAAAGATTTACAACTCCCTCATGCCAAGCATGGGTCTTTTCCTTTCATCCTAACACATGATAGTTTTAGAAACTTGTTACAGTTACAGGAGGAGAGCCACGGATTGCAAGACCAAAGACTTTTGGGCAACCATGGAAGACGAGGCTTGGCATGCAGGGCCATGACAATTCACAGCCTGGGAGGCAGTGGTAATCCCCTCTTTTCCAATCCTAGCAGGTGGGAAATGAATGTTCTCAGTACCAATATATTACTGTAATCAGTTCCTTGTTGCAATATAAGTTATTTGGCAGTGTTTTTGTCTTTAATGGGCAAATAAGGCCCGTTAGGTTTAAGAAAGGCCTGTTGCTGACAAAGATCAAAAAGCTCGAGAATTAGTTCAGTGTAATACAAGTGCCTGCCTTCTGGGTTTTTTCTTGGAGGGACAGTTGTGATGAGCACCTTGCACCGTGAGATTTCCCGCTCAGCACAGGTGACTTGCTTTTCAAAGCAACAAAAGTACTACAGACTCGGGAAAAAAAAAACAAAGACTGTCTCATGCTGTAGATATCCGGAACCACGAACTTCTCCACCTAGAGAGCTGCCTCGAGGATCCCCGGAGTTTGTTCTTTGCTCTTTCTCCCCGGCGATCCGTTCCTCCAGCCAGGACGCCTCCGGGAGCGGCTCCCTGCCTGCGCTCCTGTGCTGCTCAAGGGAAACAACAAGAAGCCGACCGGCCAGCAACGGGCTCCGGGCGACGACTTTTCCTTCTTTCGTCCCCCCCCGCCTCCGGGAGCGGCTCCCTGCCTGCGCTCCTGTGCTGCTCAAGGGATGTAACAAGAAGCCGACCGGCCAGCAACGGGCTCCGGGCGACGACTTTTCCTTCTTTCGTCCCCCCGCCTCCCAGTCGTTGAAGGAGGAGCAACGCTCCCTCCCCTCAGAGGCGCGGAAAGGGAGAACACGGTGGCGGAAAGACCAGCTACGGAGACCACACGGGCGCCCGAAGCCCACTCCAACTTGGGTCCCGTGCGCCTCCGTTTTCCCCAACCTTCGCCCTTCGTTGGGGGGGGTAGGTGCGGGTGACTTTCCCACGCCACGTCCTCCCGGGGGCTTGTAGGTCTGCTTCTTCGGCCCAGGGACTGGCTTGGACCGAGCAGATGGAAGTTGCGTCCGGGATGTCAGGCCGGGCTCCCCCGCCCCTCTCCTCCCTCCCCGCGCGCTCTCGCTCTCGCTCTCCCGGGCGCACACGGCGGCACCGAGGCACAGGCGAGTCGCCTCGCCGCAGCTCCGCGCGCCCCTGAACCCTTTGCTCCCTGAACTGGGACCGTCGATCCGGATTCCTGCCCCTCCGGCTGGTGTGATCCACCTCCCTTCCCTTTCCTAAAAGGAGGCAACATGTCCAAGGCGTCCGTTTCATAGGTGAGTTTCACTGCCGGCTTTCCCCCACTCCCAGTTCGCTTCGGCGTCAAGGTGAGATCGGAGGGACAACGCGGCGGTATGCGTGTTTACGCGGAAGTTTGCTCTCAGTTTACCGCTGCAAGATACCAAATGATGATAGTTTTGAATATCAAGTTTTGCGGCGCTCGCCGTGGAGCCCTTTCTCTCTCTGTGATGGGAAAAGGGGGTGCGTCGATTCCAATGCAGCCCAGCGCCGATGCATGTTTATTTGGAAGTCGGTTTTACTACGTTTAAGGAGATTAACTTTCATGTTAAGTCTCTACAGGGCAACAGTTTCGGTAAGTTTATATTAGTTCTGTGTTGTATTGTAAAAACAATAAAGGCAGACAGTTAAATAAGGGAATATGGTTAAAAATCATATGGTACACTGGTGATATTTCTTTTGCAAATGGGAGAAAGAAAAGTCCTAATCAGTGATGATCTGAATCATAGCGTCTTGCGTCGGCAATTATATGACATTCTAAAACCATAAATACAAGCAGAAATTAGCAATCAGAAAATTCCTGGGTGTCAGAGTCATCTGATGTGAACGCACAGTTTTGAAAGAAACGGAAAGCAGAGTGAACATTTCTAGACATGTTTTATATGAAAAGTTTGTTGTCATCATCATCTTTATAGATGTTGTTAAAAAGTATCATTTCACAACCATTTGAAATTGATTACTGGAATTCTTTCATTGCTGTATTAGTATTGTAATTGGCTCCCCAGTGTTAATATTCATGCCGTTGTTTTTATCAGCTTTAAGTTCTTTCTCCAGCCCAATGCCTTCTAGATGTTGGACTACTACTCCCATAATCCCCAGCCAGCATGGACAATGGGAATTGTGATCCAATACCTTAAGTGGGCACCAGTTGGGAAAGACTTAAATACAACAATAACCTAATCAGGATGACACAGACTCTGTTAGTGTTTCAGATACATTCTGAATCCATAATTAAACAACTTTGTTAAGATGAACCAAAAATCACATCTCGAAATCTTTTCGAAAGAGGAGTATGTGGAGGGTGGAGGAGAATCTGAACAGCTGGTGATATATGGAGTGGGAGTTGTAACATGGTATATACAAAGGCTATGCAGACCTGATAGTGATGCAGACTTTATATTGCACCAAGGGCTGTTGAAACAAAGAAATACAGTAACGTCTCTTTCTTCCATTTTTAAAAATATTAGACAAGGAGGTTCATTGACATTTTAGTTTTGAAGCATGAGACAGGTTTTCATGCAAAAGACAATGTACCCTAAAGGAATCCACTTGCAGTTGTCACGCTGGTGACATTTTTATTTACACACCGTTATATTTTTATGTGCCTTGTGCTTCAACTGTTCAGGTCAGCCATTTTTATTCAGAAGGTATATCTCTTAGAGCCCAATTCTAAGTGTGGATAGCTCAGTGGTTTCAGTGCTGGGCTGTGGAGCCAGAGGTTGGGGGTTCTGTTCCCCACTGTGCCTCCTTGAGAGGAGCTGGGCTGGATGATCCATAGGGTCCCTCCCAGCTCTGTAAGTTCTAAGATGATAATTATTATTACGTGCCAATGACTTTTGGTGCATATTGGATTAGTTGAAAACCACTCAAAGGTTTATGCAGATGTATTTATGGATGCAAAAGAACATGCTTTCCACTTCTCTCTCACTTCAGTATGTCTAAAATATACTAGCTGAAAACATGTTGCAACCACTTCTTCTCTCTCACTTCAGTATGCCTAAAATATACTAGCTGAAAACATGTTGCAGTAATCTGTGCTCCTTACCTGCCCAGTGTTTTAAAGCCACCCATTTCTACTATTTTTGGCTACATAATTAGAGAGCTCAGTGGCTTAGATCTCTGGCTGTGGAGGCAGAGGTTTGGAGTTCAATTCCCCACTGTGCCTCCTTGAGAGAGGCTGGACTTGATGATTCCTAGGGTCTCTTCCAGCTCTGCAGTTCAAAGGTGATGGTGGTTGTTATTCCAGTGGAACAGGGGTACAGTACACACAATCATAATGTTGTTATTTTGCCCAGATCTCTAAAGGGGAGGCGAAGAAACAAGCAACCCACGACAGCAATGCCAAAGGAGACAAGTATCTCAGTGAAACGTTTAAAATACAATGTGTGTGCTAAGCTGATCCTCAAACACTTCGGAGTGCATAAATGCTGTAAAGAATTGTCTGCCCCGTGTTCTATATCATTTATTCTGCTTTTACTGGTCAAAGGGTGGGCAAAATTCTAAGAAGGTGATGGAAACCATTCAAAGGACAAAACAACTTTCGAAGCCTGCAGGAAACGATAATGGGCTGTCTGCCCCACGTTCTATATCATTTATTCTGCTTTTATTTGTCAAAGGGTGGGCAAAAATTCTAAGAAGGTGATGAAAGCCATTCAAAGGACAAAACAGCTTTCGAAGCCTGCAGGAAACGATAATGGGCAAAATCCTCAATCGTGGGAAGGGCAACCATGCAAGCACTTCTGCCTGGTTAGCAGGCCATCTGCTGTGCTTCCCCACGGCCAGAGTGCAGACAGACAGCAAGTGAAACTGCTTGAAGACCTGATCTGATATACGGTTCTTCCTCAATAGGATTTTGGCCAACGTGTTCCAAATATGGCAGCTAGGCTACATCCTAACCAGAAGATTTTACTAATTTTAAATCAATTCTACCGGCTTCCTGTCCGTTTCTAGTCATAACTAAAAAGTTAGTTTGCAGTTACCTTTCAAGAGTGGCTTGGGGCCACCTTGTCCCCATGTGAACCTTATCTGTTAACATCATAATCTACAGCAGAGGTGATATCAAGAGATACCTGAGTGTTCTCAACTATCAGATGTTAGGTGGGAGAGAATTGAGGTCACATCCTGACTTTAGAGGGCACACCCCAGGATGGCTTGCTTTCTGCTTGCTTAAGTCTTCTCGTTTGCCCAAGCTCTTGATGGTAGTAGTAGTTGTCTTCTGCTCTCAAAAGTCTTGTTACTACGCTTTGAACTGTTTCTGTATTTGTACAGATTACTGTTAAATTCGAATTTTTTCTAATCATCATTTAATCCTGCTCAGTGCTCCACTCCAGTTCCTGCCTTTTGCAGCTTTAGCTGGCATTGATTTTACAGCTTATCTCCATTTTCTGTAAGAACAAGATTTGCTCTTTTATTTTCTTCCCCTCTGTTGGATTCCAGTTTATGTGGCATAGCTTCAGATTTCTTAAATATGCACCATCCATTCACTGCCCGTGTTTATCATTTATCTCATGTGCTTAAGGGCTCTTGCTTGCTTGTACTGCCTTTTGGCATGCTAAATACAGGCGCTGTGTAGTGTGCTAATTCCATGCAGAGAAAAGGGAAATTGAATAGCCATAGTAGGACACATGCTTTTGTCTCTCCAACGACGACAGAACAGTGATTAGCATTTGTCTTACTGTTTCACTCTTCCTTTAAGAAGGTCAGGTTAGGATACATGAGTATATTCCATTTTATCCTCCCAACGTCATGACATTGAAAGTTGGTCTCATCTACTAACCCAAGATAACCCTGTAGTAAATGAGTAGATTTGAATCTGCTTCTGTCAGGTCAAAATCCAGTGCCATATAAGGAGGCTTTCTTATACAAACATTTAAGTCCCTTGCCACTCCTGAACTCCCTTGGTGATAAGGACAGACTATGGAAAGTCCAACCATGACTTCAGGGTCTTAAAAAAAAAACTACATGTGTTTGAGCACAAAATATGCTGCTTGACACCTGAGAGGTGTGCCCTTTGAACAGATGTGGAGCAGAGATGAAACCCATGTGTTGTGTTGGAGATAGAATATTGGAATGGACATGTGTAACAACCTGAGCATGCCAGGTACTTCAGAAACACTCTAGGGTTGTTGTGGAAAAATGTAGGAATGCAACAATTGAAAGATGTATGTTGAGACAGAAGATAGGTAACTCTGAACTATGACAGAATCAGGGCTTCGCTGGACTGCAACACCCTTGATTCTTCAGTGTTGGGTGTGCAGACTAGGTGTGATGGGAGTTACAGTTCAACATTTCCCCCCAGTGTCTTAACTAGATCACCAAAGTGTAGTTGATAAGAACCATTGATTCCCAATGGAGGAATTTATACAGATACAGTACTAGTTATGTGCAAGGACCAAAGTACATGTTGTGTTCATCTGTATTATTTTTTATTAGAGTTGTTTTAGAAAAAAACTTTCCAATTGTGCAATAGAAAAATGTAGTCTATATTGCCAATTTCAACTGGTATAGACTCACCACTCAGTGGGATTTAAATGAGTGTTGACATATCATTGTGTAATTGCTTCAACAGGTCTACTGTCTAGTTGAGTTTAGCAATAGGATACTCGCTTCTGTTTCCAAAGTGCTCTTCTAGACTGAATAGACCTTCCAACCAATATGAAAGAATTCTCATAAGAACACAGGGAACTGTCTTATACTAAATCACACATTGAGGGCATCTAGGACAACATTGTCAGGAACGATGGATTAATGGCAGCTCTCCTGGCTTTCAGGCAGGAGACTTACCAGCCCTACCTGGAATTGCTGAGGACTGAACCTGCGAACTTATGTGTGCAAAGCAGGTCATCAGTCCTTGACAGTCCTTTCCAAGCAGTCTGGAACATTAGAAGGCACTCCACTCCAACATTCCACCTCCACACCCCCATTAAAACTCCTCTTTGCCTTATCTTTCACTTGAGTTGAGTCAGTCTGTTAATGGTTGCCCACCACTTCACAGCAGGCTAGCAATATATATTAAAAGCCATGTTCAGTAAATTGAGTGACCAGATTTTTCATCAGTTCTAGCTAAGATGCTCCCTAACCTAGGAGATAAGCCTCTTTGAACTCAATCAGATGTACAGAATGTTTGAGTACACTTCTACAGAATTGTGCTGTAATCCACCTGTAAGAGGTACCTAACATTTACTATTGTTAATCATGCCTGGTACCTCAGCCAATATGGGCATCAGCTCATTCTTGTCAAGATACTTGTTCTGAGTGC